TGCGCTCTTGACGCGCCAAGGTTGATCGTTGCTCCGTGCAGTATGCCTGCGCCATGTCGCAGGCCAGGTCCCAGGGGGATCGCCAGGCGGGGGGCGGCGATGCGCCTGACGGAGGCGGTGATGCGATCACCGGAGTCGGAACCGGAGTCGGACCGGAATCGGGATCGTCTCCGAGGGGCCGAAAGGGAGGTTCCCCTGACAGCACTATCAGACATATTCTCTGAGATCTGAGTGCAGTTTCATATGGGAAATGTTTCAAGCAACACTTATATTTGGTCCTTTCCTTCACCTGCATGAGAAGGCTAGACCTCTTTCAGTTCTAAGCAATTTTTGAATAAACACAAGATTTCAGAGGTGTTGACATGTATTACACCAAGATTCTTCATGAATGTGAAAGCCAATGTAGTCCTCTGCTGGTCAGATGTGATACTTTGAGCAATGGTCCTCCGGGACAAGCAGGAGAAAAGATATACTGGGAATCCAGAAACGTGAGAACTGACATTAGCATAGCCACCAATGTCAGATCAAGGACAATTTGACAGGACATGTCAAAACTTGTGGGGGGAACAGAGCACCAATGCCTGGTAGTATAACTATGAAAATGTTAGGATACATTACACCATGATATGAGAGTTGTGTGACCGAGCACAAAGGAAAACATTAAGGAATGGGAAAGATATTCAAAATATATCTTTCAAAACATTTCTACAGCCAATCTCAATGAGGATGAGAGACCTGGCTAAGAAAATGGAATGAGAGAAAGCAGTGCATATACTCTTGAATCTGACACTTGCCTGATGGGATCTGACCTGGCAATAATGTATTAAAGCGAAATTGGTGTTCTGAGAAAAACTGATACTTGAGCTAGTATAGGATGGTTGTTGATATCTCTAATAGGTATTTGATCAGGAAATCTCTTGAAACATATTATATATTATTTTGTTGAGCACTCATTCTTCAAATATAGCCATTTTCATAAATACTGCCAAGAAAATATTTTGTTTTGCAAAAAGCATTTACAAAGAAATTTTACCAAAAAGGCCAAGAAGCACAACAAGACACGGCACAACCACTTAATCCAAGACATGTTTGATAGCTTTGTTCCTCGGGGTTACACAAGCTCACCTCCCGCTCCGGCCCAGGCAGGAAGCCGTGTTTCATCAATTAAAACCCTGGCGCCCATTTCGCTAAGCTCACTCTCCATTCTCCGCCCTCGGCCGATGCTCAAGCCATGCTCCGGATCTCCACTAATGCCGGCACTCGCATAACAGTCGGGCGGCATTATGATTCCGTATAATCAGCCGGCATCGTCACACTTCGTGACTCTCTTGCTTCCGTTCCATCATGTCTGCCGCCAACGAGCTGCAACGGTCCCCTCCAGGTGTGTCTTTTCTTTTGCCTTTCTACTATGCTCAATTTCCATAATAGTGGAAGGCTCACTACAAGTCGGCACCAGCGCCTGAATCGTGCATCAACATAGTGCCGCCGGACTTCGACTTTAATGCGCGTCAATCTAGTGGAAAGATTCCATTTGTCCGCCGTCGCTGCTGCTTACCTTGCCAGGTGGTTCCAGTCAGTGCCTTTATTCGTTTTTTCTCTCTCCAGGGACTGACATTCTACCAGGGCTCAACAGCGACTCCGACGCGTTGGAAGCTACGGCAGCATTGGCACGGCTGCCTTGGTGCAGGCCCCAAAGCTAGTGCACACATCAACATAGCGCCGCCGCGCGTCAGAAGGATTGTATCTGTCTGGTATGTGGTTTCCTCACATTTTGCCGATGTGCTTACTGAACTCGTTGCTAGCTCAGCGTCGTTCTTGCTTCAAATGGCGCATTTCACCCGCGCAGATGTTAGTATTGCCCCCTGGTGCGTGCCTTTCACCTTTCTTAATGATCCAATGACTGACCTTGGCTTCAGACTGTCTCTTCTTCTTCTCAAAGCACTTGTGCAAGCGTGCTTGTCATGTTCCTCAACTTGCGCCGGACACCCGCGGCAACGGCTCACGTTTGTGACCCACATGCGCCAAGTCCAACGAGGCACCGTTGCTAGTAAGTGCCTCTCGTCTGTTCCTGTGCTCGTTACTGAGCTTCTCCAAGCTCTTGGCTGCCAGTAACATCAGCTGGATGTCCTCCTATAGTGTGCTCTTCCACCTTCCTGGTATCTCACCCACTAAACGTTGGCTCAGCTCGCCGAAAACCGCTATCCGGCGCTATCAATGATCCGATCAATCGATTATCCGATGATTTCTGGCGGTCATTTGGACGCGAAAATATGTGTTAAATGGCGTCATTTTCTCCAGGATTTTGCCGCCGGAGGCGCAAATCCACGCTAGACTTTCGACGCGAACGTTGGCAGCAGTGCGCTGCCTGTGTGAGTCTCCTTTCCTTTCCTTTGAGCTATGCTGACTTTGCTGTTAGATTCTAGCACTGGGCGAAGCCGCGGTGCATGCTGGCCCTTCGCACAGCACTACCCTCTCCATTCTCCCGCGCCCTTGTTCTGCTTGCGTACAACCGATGCAACTACGTCAACTTTACGACGCTAAACCACCAACACATTCGCTATTTCCGGCGGGCAACGTTCACAACCAACCTCTCCCCGCCACTTTGACGTTGTGCTTCCACTTCACACTGCCATTCTCCCGCAATAGGCCCTCGCGCGGCTTTCGCACAACCAATGCAAATGCGCAAACGTCATGACTCGCGTCGAGGCCAAATAACCAGCGGGCAACGTTCACAACCAATCTCTCCCCGCCACTTTGACGTTGCGGTTCAAGGCCAGCGGCCGTGAAACCATACTGTCAAGCTACGCTTCCAAACCACCTATGCGGGCGGCGCGACTCTGCCAACTTCATAAGTCTCACAACATCTTTCATGCGGCCAATCCTCCCAAACTACCCATGCGACTGCTCTGTCCGCGACTCTCATCAACCTTACGGCGCGTTGAGTCCAGCACACTTGGACTGTCAACCCACTCCAGTCTGCGGACGGTTGGCTGCTCTAAAGGCACCTCGGTATGTCATTTTGGCCCTACTTTTTCGACTTACTGACTGACTTTTTTCCAAGGTCTTGCCGCCAGAGGCAAACAAACGGGTGGGCTTGAACGCTACGACGACCACACCTTACAGCACATCGAGTCCAGCAGACATGGCACTGCTTTTTCGACTGTCTAACTTGGCATGCGAGCTGGTGGGCTTCAAAGTTACCAGTGTCGCAGCTGGTATAGTAGATAGTGCTTGCCAGTTTGTACTTGAATTGTGTGTCAACACAGACTCCAAGGGAATGCCGAAACTTGTGTGTGTGATGTGAATACATGGCCGTGCCTAGACGGACCATGCGAAAATGCGAGTTGACCGATCAATTATACCGTGAAGTGGTGTTACTGGTCACACATTTCTCTTCTGTTTATCCCTCCCATGTCGTCGTGCTGGCGGTCACCCCCCCTCTGACGAGCTGCGACAGCATGACAAGTCCTACGAGTGCCGTGGTGAGCTGCTTGCCTTCCTGCTGGCTGTTGCTTATTTGCTGTAGAGACTCTCTTTTTGCCTGGTGAGTGATCAGTCATCTCTTTTTTTTTGTTGCCCTCGCTGCGCTGCCTTCGGGAGGGGAGACCATGCATGGACATTGAAGGAAGTGCAGAATGTGGTTCTCTTTCCAGAGAACGCGTTTGTTAAGCTTAATTAACGCGTTTTCAGGTACATCTCGAAATCTGTCCAGCCAAAATCTATGCAAAAAACGCGCAAGTCCGAAATTAAGTGTTGAAAGTTCAGTCACGTGACCGCGTGGACTTGGCGTGGGACGGGGATGTGCGGCTGCGGACGTGCGGCGGACGTGCGGCGGATGTGCCAGCGCGTGGAGCAAACGTGCGGCGGCGGCGGCAGCGGAGGGACGCGCGCAGGGACGTCGACGCATACATGATTAGTTTTCGTGTGGTACCATCCAGAGCAGGTCTCGGATATGTCAAGACTGGCATGCTGCCGTCAAAGGTGGTCAAACGGTCGTATGAGACGATGACTCGAATGGGAGTACATTTTGATCATGATTTGTTTACAAACTAGCCATGGATATGTACGTTGCAGCTGGTACTGTAGCAGTAGAGTGGTAGCGCGTCATGTCAAATCGTATAGCAAATCGTATAGTCACATGACATTGTTTTCCAAACGCCCGTCCAAACTCCTGGCCTTCCACCTTACGGTAGAATACCGTACTTTTGGCTTCATTTACTAGCCAACGAGTCTTTATGGGCCATAACACGTGACGCGTGATGCATTGATGGCGCACTCTAACCACAACCATATCATTGCTGCACTACAAAATGCTTATCCGTTCGACGATAAATCTACCACCCTCCTGGACTTCGCCTGCGGAAAAGGTCTCATTTCTCGTGGACTAGCTCCGTACTGCAAGAGAATCGTTGCTGTTGATCGTCTACAAACTTCGGTTGACTTCTTCCAGGAGAGAGTCCACAATCAAGGTACTTACCATACGCTTGTTACTTGTCCCAGACAAAGAAATGATTAGGTATCCCTGAGGATGAACTACACATCGTTTGCGCAGAGCTTCAAGGCCACGACTCCGAATTGGATGGCGACAAGTTTGATGTTGTGGTTGTCTGTCTATGCTAGACCTTATTCGTGCTGTTCACTTCTTTAGTGCTCTGCAGCATACCACCATCTGGAGTCGATAGAAGCGACCACGGGCGTGCTGGCATTCTTCCTCAAACCTGGTGGCTATTTGCTCGTCGTGGATTTCACGACCAGTGATAAGGTGATTCCCGAAGACGTCCCTAATAGGTTTGGCTTCTCGAAGGACCAGATTTGCGCCGCTTTTGAGGGGGCTGGGTTGATAGAAGTTGACTTCGAGCAGCTTTCATCGGCCAGGTTTCATGGCCAGACGGTGGATTTGTTTCTCGCTCGAGGGAAGAAAAGCAGCTAGCACCTGATAAATCGAATTTTCTCTCCTGTTACCATCTTAAAAATCATTCTTTTACTTCTAAACCATCCCTCTAGTAAGTAATTGTAACAACAGCCGCCGTCGAGCCCTGGGTTTGTACCGTGGTGGTAATACCATCAGCGGTGTCGCTGACAGTGGCCCAGTTGATATTCGGGAATCCGCCGTTAGTCAGCTGCAGGTTGGTGGCCGAGAACACCGTCGAGCCCGCCGGGTAGTCGTCGCGGGTGGTGACGCCATACGACTCGAGGGTGAGCGTAGCCCATTTCAGCTCTGGGCCACCATCGACCTCGAGTCCCGTGCCGCCAACATTGGTGAAGGAGGAGAGGTAGTTGAAGGTCCCGCCAGACGCGCCAACGAGCCGGACTTCACCCTGCAGTCTTTGGCCGACAGAAACACCGACCAGAGGCGAAAAGAATGTCCCGCCGGGGTAGAGGTACCATGAAGCAAGCATCCATTGCGGGCCACCTTGAGCGAATTGCTAAGTACTTTGTTTTATAGTGCAAAAAGAAATCGCACCGCCAGCTGCGCTCCGTCCCCACTGAGACACACAGAGGTTGATTTAGAAGGCAGACAGAGAGGAAATGCGCACCTGTAAAACGGGTTGCATGATGCCGTCAAAGCTTCCCGGTCTACAGTGAGAGATGAGGATTTCAGAACGGCAGTGAACCAAGTTACGCACTCAATGCTGTTGAACAGGAAGATCGTTTGACCGTGGTTTGCAGCTGGTGCGGGTGGGACAGTCCAGGTAGTCTTGAATGAGCCGATCGGGACATCGTTGTTGAAGTATGCTACCCAACCGGTTTGCCAGGGAATCGGAAGCAGGGGTCGGCGCGCATGTATAACCCTAGTCGTTAACGCTGTCCGTCGGATGGAAAAACATCATGTTAAACCCGACCGACAGCGCCGATTACTCTACAATTATCTGATGCGCCTGACCTACACCCAGACAAACAGAACGCGCCTTTCCTCGCGTTCCCGAACGACGGTGGCGTGTTGCCGTGATCCGCCAAGTTCAAGTCCAGGGAGTTGTTCTGGCCTCCGGGGGCAAAATCCTGCAAAAAGGTCAGTTTTGAAAGGCATATGATGTTGTTTGCCATTTCATAGTCGAAACTCACCATCGAAACCCACCCGGCCCTCGCCCTCTCTCCCAAAGTCCTACTAACCAACTGGCGGCGACCAGCGAGTCAGTCCGCGAGATTACAGAAATGTTGTATCGCCAGGCAAAACTTCCACTCGTTCCTTGTCCGACAACCCACCATGCCCAGATCCGCATTCCCCACAATGACGACCTCCCACAGAACAAGCACCGTCGTCGCAAGTGCGAGTAAACAGCATTTTGCACGCCTCGGGCAGCAAAATCCTGCAAACAAGTCAGTTTTGGACGGCAGACAAATGACGTAGAAATGACTTACATGGGTGTAGCCATACATGTGAATTCACCATCATTCTTTCGCGCAATTGGGCGTGTCTGCGGCAGAAAATGAGTCAGAAGTCTGAAAGAATCAACGCGACACTTACTGTTGGCGGGAGCGAAGAATTAGCTGCCCTTTTGCTCGAATGCGGACGCCGAATAAGGCTGTGAGAAACAGTAAGTCGTTGTTTGCCATTTCATGGTCAAAAAACTGACCTTGCCCGTCATCGCAACTGGCCACGAACAGCGAAGTCAAGTCTGCAGAGACGCGCTACGCCTCGCGGGTGAACGAAGATGCTAAGGACAAGTTGAAGTAGGTAAACAACAACAACAAGAAAAGTGAAGCACCGTTGAACGACGGTGCTCATGAAGATGGCCAACGAGAGGCGCTGCGCTAAGCTTTACAAGTTAGCGCAACATCATTGGCAAACATGACAACTCACCGAGAGTGAACGTGCAAGGCGCCACACGAGTACGACGACAATCTTGAATCCTAGAGCTAGTTAGTAAAGGGCCAAAATGCATAAAACAACTCACCATGTTGTCGTGGTCAAACTGACTTTGCGCCCATGCTCGCTGCGACAACCATCTGGGGGTCCGAAGACAAACGGTAAACCAATCAGATGAGCAGAAAAAAGAAGGCGCACGTTTGCTCGATTAGGCGCATGCGTTGTGATTTCCAGGCCCGCATGCACCCAGATAAACTCCCGCGTTCTCCAAGACGACCAATTTGTAGCGAAGGGAGGTGTCTAAAGAGAAGTCAGCAAACGGTAAGTGAAAGATAACTTAGCAAACTCACATTTGCTCGATGCACATTCTGTGATGCGCCTGACGGCGCATGCTTCGCCCGATCTAGATCCAGACAAACAGAACGCGCCTAACGGCGCTTTCCTCGTCGCGTTTGCAAACGACAGCAAACTCCCCACTTTCTCCACGACCACCTGGGTAGTTGCGGCAAAGGGAGCTGTCTGAAGAGAAGTCAGCAAATGGTAAGTGAAGTACATCGAAGCCAACTCACGGTTTCCTGATGATGCGCCTGACGTCGCATGCTTCGCGCTCGCTACGCAGACAAAGTCGACGCGCCTGACGGCGCTTTCCTCGCGCTCGCAAACGATAGCGGCTAGAGGGTGAACTTGTTGTTGCCGCGAGTCCGCCAAGTTCAAGTCCAGGGCGTTATGCACGCCTCCGGCGGCAAAATCCTGCGAGAAAGTGAGTTTTTGAAAGGCAAAAAAACGACGCCAAAAGCGCTTACGTAATCGCAGTATGCGTGTAGGTGGCGGAATTTGTGGGACGAAGTGAGGCCGGAGACTGAAGTTGGCATCCCAGAAGGCTTCCAAAACGTGTCGTTGTTTGTGTGTGGGGCGTGTGGGGCAGGGGTGTGTCGATTGGGTGGAAATGACGAGAGTTGGGACCTGTACAGACTTGTTAGAGAAGTTTGGGCGTAGAATCAACAAGACACGCACCTTATTGTCGAGCTCTCCCAGCTGAACGACCCCAACAACCCACCCTCCGTTTGAACTGGTCGTAACCTGGTCGCGGGTGTTGACGCGGTCGTTAGGCATCCTAGCGTTGACCGTTTAATAGGCGGGTTGGCACCATACACGGTAACACACCTTAAAAAGCCCAACATGGCAGTGGGCGAGCCCTACGCGGGCATTGAACTTGAGGAAGGTGAAGGATGAGCGCCGAGCTGCAACATGGTAAGCAAGCGTTGACACGGAGCCAGAAGACTGACCGTGGCTGGTCGTGGTCGAAAGACAAGTCACGATTCGTGTGACGGCACGCGATAATCTTGACTTCAGCCTTGTCGGCACTCACAATCTCCCGCCTTAAAGCTGCATCCGGCAAGCCGCGGGCACTGTCTCTCAAGCTTACTGGGGCCTTGTCTCACGAAGTCCACGGCTACAACGACATCAAGACCACCTCTCCAACCCGGAGGCGATGTGAGCTCGGCCCGGCAGGTGCTCAGCGGACCAACTTATCGACCGTTCTCCCGGCAACAACAGCCTTTTGCGATCTCCTCAAGTCCCGGCAACGGCTGCTACCGCACGGGTCAATGTGCTCACAAGCCGCAGAAATGGGAACAGAAGACGCAGCCAACTCCAACCACTGTCTGCCCGGGCGTTGACTCAGACGACGACCACAGTCTTCTTGGGAATGAGCCCAAGAACGGAGTACAACACCCACAACTCGCCGGAGAACAACTTCACTGGCTCGTCGCCAAACCCAGCGACCATTATTACCGCCAACGAAGACGGGGACAACGACGAGCGTTGTAGGCGATGAGAAGAACGCGCCGAGTACGGAAACTTGCCAGTGAAAAGTCAGTCCATACTGTCAATATGGGGAACGACCACTCACTTACCAGTTTTGCAGGGCCCGAACAACGCAAACCCAACCCCGACAACTCTGCCTCGTCCTCGTCGTCTACAGCGTTTACGACCACCACCAACGCCTGCTGCAATCCATCGTCGGGTTGTGTGGAGAACTTGCGAGCAAGGTCAGTCCAGCTGTCAATGTGGACAACAAACCACTCACCAGTTGTGAAGCCCTCGGCGACGTCAACATCTTTGGCAACGCCATTGACTCTGCATGACCCGCCATCGTCTCCAGCGTTCACGACCACCACGAATGTCCGCTACAATCAAGTTAGCACAAGAAAGCTCGGCGAATGGCGGCAAGATATACCGCCAGAGTCAAGGCCTTCAATTTGACAACAACGCTGTCGGGCCAGTATCCGCCAACCGCCTACTGCCCAACTCCAATCGAATTTGCGCCGACTTCGGGGCAGGAACAGTCGAGTGGTGGATCGATGGTGGAGATGATGAGAATGGTGGCAGTCTCGACAGGCTGCTTTGCAACGACCATTAGCCTTGGTTTCGGCAAGCGCAAACTGGGGAATTCAGCACAGAGATAACAACGGCAACATCGGCACTCACCGATAACTCCTCGCGACACACATTCCCGCCTCGGCTTCTAGATCCCGAACCCTTCTCCCCTCATTTCAACTCGGCGAAAACTGGACAAGTCAGTGCGGAGACAGCAACGGCAATGCCAACACTTACCAGTAACTCGGCACACAAGAGGCTTCGGACTTGGGGATTCTAAGCGCCTGACTTATCAGCAAGACGAGGAGAGGATCCAAGCCGGAGCGGAAACTCACCTGCCGACAAGCACAAGTCCAGCCAGCGTCAACCGCAAGATTGCCTCCGTCCACGACGACCAAGACGGCTCAAGGCCATAGACGACAACGGCGGTGGCCCTCAATCTACCACGTTTCCAACATCGACGACGAGCGGGCGGAGTAGGCAGAGAAGTGGGAGAGAGGAAGGGGGAATGATGAGAGAGACGAATTGGGTCTGGGTTTTATACCCAGTACCCGTCGGCGCTCGGCGAAAGCGGCTTACGATATGTCAGGGGATCGCTCGCCGGAAAGACGCACCGCTGACAGGTGAACCTAGGAATCTCGCCACTGCCGTTAAGGCGTGGAATCTGGTTTGGAGAGCATTGCAGTCGAGTAGTGGGCAGATAGCATGTATATAAATATTTAATATGATGTTCTCGTGTGCTCAGACATGTTTTAGCATAAGGTTCCACACTCCCAGAGACCAAAGTATAAGAAAGTAGATTTGGAGGTTGGAAGGGAAATACGACATACCAAGACGACGGAGCGCCCAAGGTGCAAGCGAGTGACACCAGGGATGATGGTGCCGTCATTCCTGGGCGTTTCATGGCTGAATCCCGCGAGTTCCGCCGTTGAAAACGGGGGAATTCTGCAAGATGAATGAAATTAAGGCGGACTAGACCGTTCTGTGGAGGATCGGAGGCCGCTAGCTCGCTGGTATATGCTACCATGTGCAGTGAATGAAATCTGAAGGCAATCGGACAGCCCCCTAGCACGTAACCCCAGGAATCAGAGCGACAGCACACCTGCAGAATATCATATATTTCCGGTCCTCTTTGGGCGGGGGGGAAGGATTAGTTCGCCAGAGCGCTTACGTAAGCACGTGATCCTCAAATTTCAGCCAAATCGGAGCACTTTTAGCTATAGAACGCGGGCCAGATCTAAAATTTCCATTTTTGGTTGCCAGCGGTAGCGTGCGATCAAGTCACGTGACCGCTCGGCGGAGCCCATTTTTGAGACTTCAACTTGATTTTTCAGTGTGAAATGTGGCCTGAGTGTGAATTATAACTGACAGTCATGAAACTTAGAAGTCCTGTGCAGATTTGGGGATAATTTTGAATGAATCTAAGACAACTTAGAGACTTAAACAAATCTAAGATTTCCATTTTTTTTTTTTGTCATCAGCAATGTGATCACGTGATCACTGGCAGCAGCTTTATCTAGAGACTATAGCAGTCCCTGAATGTTCTCAAATTTTCTTTAAAAATTACTGAATACCATATTGCCACATTTCCTGCCTGTGACCTGATTATGTTTTCCATTCCTCTACATGAAAATGTTTTGGGTGTCTACAGAAGTAGCGGAGGCTTGCAATATACTCACTAATTATTATTACACTTATTTTTATAAAATAGTATTAGGCATCTTTGATAACATCCACCAGAATATCTGTGTAGACAAAGTGTCTAGAAACATGTGTACATGGTACATTACTTTGAAAGGTTACACCTTTGGGCACTTTTTGAATAAATACTTGATTTTGGAAGCGCTGATATATATGGCATCCAGATTCTTCTCGGATTCAAAAGTCTGCACAGTTTTACATCTGACACAAGTGAGACCTTAAGAAATAGTCTTCTAGAAGATGCAGGAGAGCACATATACTAGGAATTCAGAAATGTGAGAACTGACATTAGCATAGCCACCAATGTCAGATCAAGGACAATTTGATGGAATGTGTCAAAGCTTGTGTGGGGCACAGAGCACCAATGCTAGGGAGTATAGCCATGGAAATTTTAGGATATGTTACACCATAGTCTGGGAGCTGTGTGACCAAGCAACAGAAGGAAATGTCCAGGAACTGGCAAGATATTCAAAATATATCTTTCGAAACATTTCTACAGGCATTCTCAATGAGGACAAGAGGCCTGTCCAAGAAAATGGACTGAGAGAAAGTGGTACATATACTCTTGAATCTGACACTTGCCTGATGGGATCTGACCTGGGAATTCTCAGTTATAAGGAAATTGATATTCTGGGAAATAATAATTAATGGAGATCAAGATCACGTGACTCTTGATAGAAAGAGCTGAATTTTTTCATTGACCGACCAGAAAAAATCTTAGATTGAACAGCCAAAAAATGACGCTGGCACATTCCAACATAACCACTGATCTACAATTCCACTGGATTGCTGGCTGCATAGCGTTTCATCTGCAGCACCCCGCCGGAGCGGCACCAACCCTAACCCTAAATATCATATATTTGTGGTACTCCGTTGCTTCAGATGAAGGGTGGGCTCGACAGGAGGCTTACGTAATCACATGATCCTCAAATTTCAGCGAAATCGGAGCACTTTTAGCTATAGAACGTAGGCTACATCTAAAATTTCCATTTTTGGTCGTGAGCGGCAGTGGGCGATAAGGTCACGTGACCGCTCGGCGGAGCCCTGTTTTGAGACTTGACTTCAGAGTTTCAGTGTAAATTATGCTCTTGGATATTATTCAACTTATATATTGAGCTGTCTTTGGAATCAATTTCCACAGAACTTGCTCTCCTGCAGGTTTAAAAATTACCATTTTTGATAAGTGTTGGAAGGGAACATGATCACGTGGCTGCAGACAAGACACTTATTTGGAGTATTTAATTGGATTTTGCAGTGCAAATTTTACCTCTTAGAGTTATTTTGACATCATTTCTGGCAATCAATCTCATCTATGATGTTCTAGCCTAGTATTATTTATTTTGCTTATACCTAGAAAAAAAGCAGAGACCTGTAATATTTTAAACAATGATTTTTTATCAAGCACTTGTAAGGGCAACCCCGGAGGCCTGAGATCAAGGTCCTAGCAGGGGAGGATCCAAAGAGTGAATAGAAGTAAGCAAATACAAGTGAGGCTGACCTAGCAGGGGAGGATCCAAAGAGAAGAAACTCTAAGGGTCCGCCTGCTAGGTAGCGGAACTATATACTGCGCTCTTGACGCGCCAAGGTTGATCGTTGCTCCGTGCAGTATGCCTGCGCCATGTCGCAGGCCAGGTCCCAGGGGGATCGCCAGGGGGGGGCGGCGATGCGCCTGACGGAGGCGGTGATGCGATCACCGGAGTCGGAACCGAGTCGGACCGGAATCGGGATCGTCTCCGAGGGGCCGAAAGGGGAGGTTCCCCTGACATCACCCCCCTTTGAATGCGGCGTCCCGACGATAGACCGGAACGGAATCGAGTCGAAGGTTGCGGAGGCGATGTGCCGTGGTTTGCCAGGGTACTTACGGTAGAACTCCGCGATTTTGTCCGGGGCGAAGACGCGGTCGAAGCGGACCCACTGGTCGTGTGCGACGCGTCGTAGCCTTTCCATCTGACGGTAATTCAGCCGTTTATACCTCACCCTTGCGTCCAAGATCTCCTCTACTTCCCACTCCGGGACTCCGTCCTCGAGGTCCGGAGGGGGCTGGTCATAGCCGGGGCGTCCGTCGAAGGGGTCGTCTTGGGCGAGCTCAAGCTTGACGACG